ATTGTTTATATCATGCAATTACTGTGAGTCCTAAGAGTTAAACCTCAATTCTTAGCAATAATGGTTCTATGTTGATCCCTGTTGCAATATAAGGTTCTTTAAAGAACCATTTAACCAAACAAAGAACCATTTAAACCTTCAAACAGTTCTTTAATTTGTAATGGTTCTATAGAGTCAATACCTTTACTAAAAAACCCTTGAAGAACCCCTTTTAAGGGGGCAGTCTTGTGAATTGCAGTCTCAGTGACTATTCTCCACTGAAACCCCTCCACAGTCCAGGCCTTGGCTTTTAATATGTGTCCAGACTGTTTAACTCAGTGAGAGATAAAAGGTCTCCCTGTAGGTTTATTAAGGAGTCCACAGGCTCACAGGCCCAGGAATGCGTCCCCGAAGATACATATTTTACATTCAAACATGCCATATTATTCCAAGAAAACCCAAATGGCCCAATCCGATGAATTCCAGATGCTTCCGAACTTCTGACGGCGGCCGAGTGAGTCACAGAGTGATGTGTACGATGTCCTTGGGAAGTGTCGGACGAAATGCTACACATAAATGCAGCCCTTATGAGGTGCATGAGGTGCTTATTACCCTCTATACAGCATGGCGTGTTCTATAGTCATCTTTTCTCCCTGACCTTGGGGGTGACATGTAAGTGTTCCAAAATTAATCCAGTCTGTGAAAAATGCTGCCTTCAAGTCATGTTGGAAATATTGTATATGGCTTTGGATAAATATCAAACTCCAACATACACCGATCAGGCATAACATTCTGACCACCTCCTTGTTTCTACGCTCATTGTCCATTTTATCAGCTCCACTTACTATATAGGTGCACTTTGTAGTTCTACAGTTACAGACTGTAGTCCATCTGTTTCTCTGATACTTTGTTAGCCCCCTTTTACCCTGTTCTTCAGTGGTCAGGACCCCCATGGACCCTCACAGAGCAGGTACTATTTGGGTGGTGGATCATTCTCAGCACTGCAGTAACACTGACGTGGTGGTGTGTTAGTGTGTGTTGCGCTGGGGCGAGTGGATCAGACACAGCAGTGCTGCTGGAGTTTTTAAAGACCTCAGTGTCGCTGCTGGACTGAGAATAGTCCACCAACCAAAAATATCCAGCCAACAGTGTCCTGTAGGCAGCGTCCTGTGACCACTGATGAAGGACTAGAGGATGACCAACACAAACTGTGCAGCAGCAGATGAGCTATCGTCTCTGACTTTACATCTACAAGGTGGACTGGCAAGGTAGGAGTGTCTAATAGAGTGGACAGTGAGTGGACACAGGGTTTAAAGGAAATGCAGCGATCCACGCTCATGTTTATGTGATGTGTATTGTTTGTGTGATGTTTATGTGTAGATACGGTCGTGTGGTTGGTGAAGAACAGAGAACCTGTTGATGTGATTGTCTTTCCTGATGTGTGTGAGACTGTGTTCCCACCAGAGCGCCAAACTCGAATTTTAACGTCAGGTTCAGACTGAATACTTTCCTGCTGGTCCGGACGGCTAAATATCACGATCAGTAGAAGTTAAAGCTACCGAGAGCAGATCCGTGCAGCCTGGATTAATCTGTTCCTAAAGATTATAACAAAACAGATTTGGTGAAAATCGGTTGAGTAGTAAGGAAGTTGTGGCTGATTTGATTCTGAGGCTCTTCGTCTCTCAATACAAGTGAATTTGATCACAAGCGGATCTTGACCTCTCCAACATGGCGGACACTCAGACGTATCGCCTCAGATAGAGAACAACAGACAACGTGGCATCTAGGAATGTATATCTATGCTTTTATCTATAAACATGGACTGCAGCGCGTTAGCATAGCTAAAACAGTGTTTATCTATTTGCCCTGTAAGTTCATGTTGACGTGGGGGTGACTGTTTCCCACACATGTTAGGCATTTTAATTTTAATGTAAGTTTCCATGCTGTCTTCAGCGAGCCGTGCTCCATGTTGGCGTGCTACATCGCTAATTACGTTGTTATGCTACTCACACGTGTAAATAGGCGTTGCCCTTGGAGACGAGGGGCTGTTAATACATAAGCTGAACATGCGGTTCCACCTTTTGCCCAGATAAATATCTTTCCTCAGCCCTGCCTGTCCCTTTGTGTGTCCTTCAGGGTTTGGGAAGATGTTGGGACCGCACAGCGTTAGCCGTTAGCTCTCCTCACACTCCACACCTCATAAACCCTGCACTCCCCAACACATGGCTGTAATAAGCCGACAAATTAAGCCATTACACGAGGGTTTAAGGAACACAGACATCCGCGTTTAAATGGCTTTTAAGAGTGGCCGGGGAGCTCTCACTGCAGGCCTCCATTGTGCTGAAGAAGCCCACCTGGGACGCGGCCTTCGACGCGCACCTACAAGGCCTCGGTCGGCAGAAAAGGTCACGTTCGCCAATCGACCCGTCCTCCCGACCACACACGCTTCAGAGAAAGCCACAAACCGGCTCGCTGTGTGTGGTCAGCCGGGGCAACCTCTTCAGAAAAATATGAGTTTTGCTTGGCAGCGGCTTCCGCACTCAGCCAGAGGAGCCGCATCAGCCCGACTCCCTGTTTCATTACGGAGGTACGAGCTGAAATTTTTGGCCCGGGCGCAGTCTGGCCCACGGCTAGGCGGCGGCTTCCTGGGCCAGAACCCCCGGTTGTGCGAGTCCCAGTTTCTGTCCTGCTCTGTTTAAGAGGTATACCCATAAAGCCTCATTAGGCAGGAACGCCGCACGGCTTCTGCTGCTGCTTCAGTGGCCAGACAGGCGCTTCACGAGCTGAGAGAAAGTGAAGTCAGAGCGGCGTTATAATAAAACCCTCCAGGGAACTTTCTAATTAAATACCAGCTCGCATTTTTTAAGGCCGGTGAGCTTCGTTAACGTTCTCTCCTACATCTCGCAGCATTTGCTTCATTCTGCTTGATGCAAAAGTGTCTGAGATTTTGTAAAGTTAGGTTTCTGTTCGAGTCACAAAAACATGTGTTTCTCCAAACGGTGGGTGATGGAGTGAGGAGATGCAGATGTTCTTCTGCTCGAAAAGCTTGGAAATTGAAATGTGAGCATATTGGACATGAGTGGCCTCAATCAGCTGATGTTGTATTATCAGTACACTTTCATACTGACCATAAAAGACCTTCTTTCTTTCTTTTTTCTGTCTAATTAGACAAATAATGTCCACTTGTTAAAGGTAAATTTTACTCAGTGTAACCATCCATTTAAACTTAATTAGGTAAAAATGCATTAAAATGACCTCAGAAAGGTAATAAATTATATGTATATACATATATATATATACATATATATATATATATCGCTGTTGTCAGACCAAAACCTTGTATCTCCACAATGGTAACTTTATAGGAAAAGGAAAAAACCTTCTTTACTTCTAATGTAAGTCAGTGGAACCAGAAAGCTTTGCAAGTAATTTTGGGCTGTTTCTTTTGGTCCATTCACCATGAAATTTACACACAATGTGAAGAGCAACAGGCGTTTTCACATTATGTCAAAAACTGAAAAACGGAAAAAATGGAGATACGAGGTTTTCTTCCGACAACAGTGATACATATCAGAACAAACAATTTTTTTAAATTAGATAATTTAAATTAAGTGACCCTTATTAGTCCCACAACGGGGAAATTTCACCTCCGCAATCTAACCCATCCCTATCCACAGTGCCCAGGGAGCAGTTGGGGGTTGGGTGTCTTGCTCAAGGGCACTTCAGTCATGTACTGTCGGCTCAGGGGATCGAAGCAGTGACCTTCCGGTCACAAGGCTGGATCCCTAACCTCCAGCCCGAGAGAGAGAGATTCTTTGTTCTGATTGGCTGCCGCACTGTGCCTCATTCCAAAAGCAGTCCTCATTCAAAAACACTCCTTATAACCTCAGTGTGAGTGGGTGGAGCTGAACTGCTGTAGGCCGAACCGGCACATATTTGTAAACGTATTGGTGTTTGTGACATCACAAAAACAATGAATTCAAAATGGGTCGTTTTTTGCAGCTTAGTGTCCATATATGGACTATATGGGAATTAAATTTATGTTTTAAAATTTTAATAATGTTTACATACAACTTTTCCATTTTAAAGAGTAAGTAATTCTGTTTTGCATCAAATTTTCCCTTTAAAGTTCATTAAGAGCCTCAATATTAGGCCAACCTCAAAAACGAGTGGCCTCTCATGACAATCAACATAATCGCAATCATAAACCTCTATAGACATTTATAAAGGCTCATTCCAGTAAGCGTCAGTCGTCATAACACTTGCTGAGGTGGAATCACATCAAGATTGACTTTTATGACAACTGCTGCTGGAATTAGCCTTTAATGAGCCAACTTTAAATTGTGACGTTGATTTGTTTGTATGAATTTGTTCCCAAAAACATTATTTGAATTAACCCTCATGTATTTTCTTCAGTCCTGCTGGAAAAGCATCTCCTTATGAAGCTCCTTTAAAGGGGAAACTCCACTGATTTTTCAAAAATTCTACATAATTAAATGTTTAAGATGTAAACAGAGTCATGCAGAGTGGTTTGGTGTGAAACGCTCTGTTCTAGATAAACTTACAGAGTCAGAACTGTTCACAGTGGCAGTGATAGAAACCAGACGTCCACCTCTAAAAGCTCCCTCACAGAAAGTTACTACATGAAATGGTTATGAATTCACTGCCTGATGACTGAGACACTGTTTTATGATAGTTTTGAGATATTTTTGGCCTTAAACTTCTTTCACGGTGGAGGGATACATGCAGGGTGTTGTGAGGCAAAATAGTCCCCAAAGATTTTAAAGTATTCAAGCCTCTTTGGTCACTGTTCACTTTAAAGCTCGTTATTACATAAAAAAAAATGCCTCAAAAAGTGAAGCAGAAAGGCTTAAATCACCCCCCGCGCGAGCTCAACTACCTGCCACGCGAGCCCCTCCTCCTCCCTCGCGCTGCTCTGGCCCCGCCCCCCTCCCCTCTCTGCTCTCGCGTGCCGGGACCGTCAAAACTTTTCCCCTTCAGTTTGCGCGGAGTGGCGCGAGCGGAGCACAGCGGAGCGTGACGATGCCGTCTTGGAGCGCGAGGAGCGCGAGCAGCCTGGCCGCGTGCGTGTGGATTATTACGGCGGCGCTGTGGGGCGCGAGCGCGGGGAGGCGCGAGGACGCGGCGATGGCGGGCAGCGTGAACCGCGCGCGCTGCGCCTCGCGCTGCCTCAGCCTGCACATCACCCGCATTTCGGCGTTTTTTAAACATTTCCAGGTAGATTTGAACGTTTTCGACGATTTATCTGACTGAAATTCCACATCGAGCTGCTCATTTAGACCGTTCGTTTGGTCATCAGTAGAGCGGAAAGTGACAGAAACACCGGACTGCGGTGATCTTGGCTGACCGGTCAGGTGTTTTCGGCGGCAGATCTGTCCGCACAACTTTAGTTAACCGACCAAATAAGCAGTTAAACCGGGTTGGACGTGGCTCGTCCACTTCGTGAGTGGAGGAATGGTTTGTTTATGTAATGTTTACTGGGTGACTATATAGTGCTAAAGGTCAGTGTTAGATGCTGTGGGAAAAGCTCAAAGTTACCAGTCAAAAGTTTGGATGCCACCTGGCCGAATGTATGTTTTCCATAATTTCAAATGTCTTAGAAAGACCAGCATAGACCAGCATGGCTGGTCACCTGCAAAACCAGCATATGTTGTGTTTTGGGTACTGGTGTGCTGGTCAGGTGCAATGGAAGTTGATATGCTGGTCACCAGCAAAACCAGCATATGTTGTGTTTTGGGTACTGGTGTGCTGGTCAGCAGCAGTAGGAGGTTGATATGCTGGTCACCAGCAAAACCAGCATATGTTGTTTTTTGGGTACTGGTGTGCTGGTCAGCAGCAGTAGGAGGTTGATATGCTGGTCACCAGCAAAACCAGCATATGTTGTGTTTTGGGTACTGGTGTGCTGGTCAGCAGCAATGGAAGCTGATATTCTGGTCACCACCAAAACCAGCATATGTTGTGTTTTGGGTACTGGTGTGCTGGTCAGGTGCAATGGAAGTTGATATGCTGGTCACCAGCAAAACCAGCATATGTTGTTTTTTGGGTAATGGTGTGCTGGTCAGCAGCAGTAGGAGGTTGATAGGCTGGTCACCAGCAAAACCAGCATATGTTGTGTTTTGGGTACTGGTGTGCTGGTCAGCAGCAATGGAAGCTGATATGCTGGTCACCACCAAAACCAGTACATGTTGTTTTTTAGGTACTGGTATGCTGGACAGCAGCAAAACCAGCATATGTTGTGTTTTGGGTACTGGTGTGCTGGTCAGCAGCAATGGAAGCTGATATGCTGGTCACCAGCAAAACCAGTACATATTGTTTTTTGGGTACTGGTATGCTGGACAGCAGCAAAACCAGCATATGTTGTGTTTTGGATACTGGTGTGCTGGTCAGCAGCAATGGAAGTTGATATGCTGATAACCTGTAGAACCTGTAACATTTTTTATTAAGATCTACTTTTTGTTCACAGCAAAATGTCACTTAATAGTTTTGATGTCTTCACTATTGTTCTAAAATAGTAAGAATATTCATGAGTGTGTCCAAATTTTTGACTGGCACTGTATGTTCATCTCTGTAAACTACACAAAAGAAGGTAGACATACTTAGTGAACAAGTAGTTTGACCAATGTTCAAACATTGGTGATGACCACGATGGTGTCGAAAAGCCCCTAATTACATTTTAAGTGCTGTACAGATGTTGTTTTGTCCACTGCGGTGTTCACACCAGGCTAAGAGCAGTAAAGGAATTAGCCCTCTTGTCCGGCAGGGTCCATCATGTCCAAAGCTGTTTTTCACACCTCACTACACACAATGTTCTCGCAGGACTTCAATGAAAGCCAGCGCAATAGATCTCTTCGTCTTTTGGTCTCCTTTTGGCATCTTTCTGCCCTGGTTGCACCATTCATGTGGGGTAGATGGGGTTACTGGGGGCGCGAGCTTTCTTTGACGAAAAAATGTGTTGAACAGAATCTCTTCATTATGTTTCCTGTTCATAATTAAAGTAATTGAGATGTAAACAAAGCAATTCAGAGCGGTTTCCGTTCTAGAGAAACTTACAGAGTCAGAACTGTTCACAGTGGTGGTGATAGGAACCAGACATCCACCTCTAAAAGCTCCCTCACAGAAAGTTACTACATGAAATGGTTATGAATTCACTGCTTGACATCTGTTTTACGATAGTTCTGAGAAGGTTTTGGCCTAGAAGACATGTTTAAAATCCAGCTAGGGCGGAGAGGTGCGTCCAGGTTGGTGTAAAACGGAGCATTTCACATAAGACCACTCTGAATTACTTTTATGTTCATTTTAATCACTGAATTATGGAGAAAAATCTGTTTGTATGTGTGTGAAATGTTACGCATGCAAGAGCATCAGGAAAAAAGAAACTAAGTTGGACAAAAAAGGGACTCAAACTGAATATTAAAGCTCTGAATTAATTTTAATGTTCTGGTTTAAAGCTCAGATCTTGGCAGGCGTTTCTCCCTAACAAATGAGGACACTCACTGTGAGATGCGACACGCCTTTGCAACTCCTGGCGGTTCATTTTCTTCTCCTTTGCTTGTGGAGGAAGTGCAGATTTGAGCTGAGATGTATCAGGGAGCTTGATAAGGAGCTGGTTGAGCGAGCTGAGAAGCTCCAGGAATAGAAAGCTATTGTTTTTGATGCTCTGCATAGGCCGGTCTGGAGGATCTCTGAGCTTCCAGCTCTTTCATGTGGAAATTGGAGGTCGCGTCAGCTGCAAAAACATACCCCCACCAGCTCGGCCACCAAATGCCAATGTCACCCTCCTCTGAGGAACCTTGCTGTCTGTGTGAAGCCGCGGTGGTGGGGTCACCTTCCTGCTAAAGAGGGCCTTCACCCCCACTGAGAGGCTTTAATGGGTCGCTGGCGTAACGCTGGGCGGATCTGCCTCCTGTAAAGGATCTTATTACCGCATCATCAGGCCTACAGCGGCTGGTTTTGGCGGTTAAACTGAGAGATCCGTGCCTAATGTAGGCTGGAAATGGATCTTACGGCAGGAGAAGACGTGGAGCAAAGCAGCAGTGCAGCCTTAGAGTTGAAAATGTCCTAAATCTGGTCAGTGTATTCAATATTTCTCGCTATGAGCTTGTTTTAAGGGTATTATAAGTTTATGCTGCCTATTTTTAGATATTTACTTGATTTAAGTTGCTTTGTCTTCCTTTGGCAGATAATTTAACCAGTTAAAAATCTCTAGAAATAAGCTGAATAATCTCTTGACATTCTTAAAACAAGCTCATGATGAGAAATATTAGATAAAGTGACTAAACACTTACCAAGATATACTTTTTTGCAGCATATCTCAAGTTACATTTTTGGCATTTAGCAGACGCTCTTATCCAGCGCGACTTACAATTTTATCATTGTTTACACAGTTTGGCGAAGGTAATGTTAGGAGTCTTGCCCAAGGGCTCTTATTGGTATAGTGTAGGGTGTTTACCCAGGCAGGGATTGAACCCCAGTCTACAGCATAAAAGGCAGAGGTGTTCCCCGCTACACCATACCAACCACAGATGTACATTTGTCTGTAAGTCTCAGACATGTTTCCATTGTGGTCATTCATTTAAGATTTGGTAGTTGTTTACAGCTTGTAATTTTAGCTAAAAAGGAAACACAGTAACAGTTACTTAGGTGATAGAATTTGACATTTTTTAACCATTGGGTTGGTTGGTCTGAAAAACTTGGGTAGTTAAAGTGGAATTCTGGCCTAAAACTGACACTTATTTGTTGTGTTATGCTGTAGTACAGAATTGCAGCCTTTAGCCTCATCACTTTGACAGAATTCACACTTCCTTCATGTTGTCTCACTACAATACCCATCATCCATTTTGCAAATTCGTCATATGACAGTTGGGAATCCCACCCACATCGATAAAGAGATCCAATAAGGTAGAGGCCAATAAATTCAGATGTGATATTCGACTGCTGCTCGTTTATTTCCGGGACCGCCACCTGTTTTCGGCACATGCTCAGACTGAGAAATCCGAAAGAAATCAGAGTAAGAGTTTACATGCACTGAGAAATCTGATTATACCTGACTATACTTTATCAGATTTCTTAATCAGATTTCTAGACCTCACTCTGATCTAAGAAATCAGAGTGCGCTGTTTACATGACCATTTGAAAAATCAGATAACTGCAGAAATCTGATTATGATCAGATTATTGAGTGCATGTAAACACTCATTGATCATTCTCTCCATTTGATTTTGCATGGCTGTCGTGCACCAAAACCAATCATCAATGCACGCTGTTGTACATGGAGCAAAATACTACGGTGTTATTTCACATTAAACGTCCACATACCAATGTATTTCTGGACATTCGCGCTCACATATGGGCTATCTCTCACCTTCCCACAATAGACAAGAGGGGAACACCCAGCCATAAAGCACTGCGGCTGCTAACGCGAAGTGAAAGAAGGACTCTGTTCTGCAGCGCATTTGGAAAGCATCGGCCTTATGTCGGATTATTTATGTGCGGACCTATTAAGCCAAAGGTGTGTCAGAGAGGTCCTGCTGGTCCATTTGGAGTCATAAAATATATGAGATTTTAAATTAAGCCTTTCATTCCTCCCATCTGGCTCTCTTGCGGTTAACGTGCCGGCCCAAGAGATGCATGTTTTAATCCCGAGGAAAGACAAACATTGGAAAGTAGTCTTGCCGTGTCCCCTTGTCTTTGGCCTTTGATATGAAGCAACGTGGGAATGGAATCAAACCCTGCGGTCGTTAGCGGCTCATATGTGTAGCGTTTTTCATTAGTGAAGACAGCGGAATGAATGAGGACTTGTTGCCTGGTTTCAACCTTTACATACTCAAACACAAACCAACACAAAGAGGAACTTTCTCTGAGGAAAGTCTCGGGCAGGCAGCTTGATTTTGTTTTCATCCCTCTTGGAAAATGCTGAAGTTTGGAAATTGTACATAACTTCATTAATTACTTCTTACATTTGGTGAGCTTTGCCAGGACTGTCCAATGCATCTCCTGTTGGCCATTGGTATGAGCACTCAGTGTCCAGTCTTTGAAATTAGTGTTATTTTTCTTCATCTTCAGCCTTAGTTCTTCCTATTCTCGTGGGGCAATACGTGTATTTATGAAAATACACATCTGGGGATAACTTGTTAAACTTCTGGTGCAACCGCTAACAAGGCCATCTCTAAACCCCACCCACAAGTTCCTCCAGTCCGTGCTCCATTTACATCCAGAGTA